TCTCGCATCCTTGTCGGCTCCAGCCTCAACCAACAGTTGAATAACTTCCAAATGGCGCATCCAGCACGCTTTGTGCAAAGGTGTATTGCCCTTTGCATCTCTTGCATCCTTGTTGGCTGCAGCCTCAACAAACAGTTGAACAACTTCCAAGCGGCCCATAAAGCATGCTGTGTGCAAAAATGTATCACCCTGTGCATCGCTCGCTTCCTTGTTGGCTCCAGCCTCAACCAACAGTTGAATAACTGCCAAATTGCGCATGGAGCACGCTTTGTGCAAAGGTGTATCATCCTGTGCATTTCTTGCGTCCTTGTCGGCTCCAGCCTCAACCAACAGTTGAACAACTTCCAAGCGGTCCATAAAGCACGCTGTGTGCAAAGAGGTATCACCCTGTGCATCTCTCGCATCCTTGTCGGCTCCAGCCTCAACCAACAGTTGAACAACTTCCAAATGACACCTGGAGCACGCTGTGTGCAAAGGGGTTGAGCCGTCTGCACACTTGGCCTCCTTATTGGCTCCAGCTTCAATCAACACATGTGCCACTTCCAAGTGGCCCCTTTTGCATGCTGAGTGCAAAGCTGCATCACCATCTGCACCTGTCGCATTCGCATTGGCTCCAGCTTCAAGCAACAATCGTATCACGTTCAAGTGGCCCAACGAAGCTGCGATTTGAATTGCAAATAGGCCGTCTCTGTTGCGCACGTTGGGGTCTTGTGGCTTTTGAAGCAATTTCTCGACTTCACCGTGCTGATCAGTTTCGCATGCGACTAAGAAGCTCAACTCGTCCAAGTGACCAGGAGGACAACAGCTCAATATGACCAACTGCAACTCAGGCCAAGCCAGCAAAGCCTCGCCGTCGTCCAACTCCCCCTTCTCACTCAAAAGCCTTTGCCGAAACCTCGAGTATCCCAGCTGAGCCGCGAGGCGCCTCTTCAAGGCTAGGACCGTTTCGCCCTTCTCCACAATCTCCCGCAGCTCCTCGTCATCAAGCTCCGCGACGGTGGCGCCCGAAACGGCACACAGCCGCATGGCTTCCCGGCGGGGCGGAGGAAACGACGAGATTCGTCGGGTGGATCGGAGGGACCCCGACGTACTCCGAGGATGTCAAATGAGCTGGGCGATGCTTGGGTTCCTTTTCTCACGCCCTTTTTGTGTAGAGTTTAGAGCTGTATTTGATGATCTGCCGTATATGTCAGATCCTTTAGAACTGTGAGGAGCGAACGAAGCATGGGACAAATTGGTGCCATGACGACGACGTGACATGACATGACAATCAAGTCTGATGCGCTTTATTGTCACGTCCAGAGCCCTTGATTTGCTGCAGTGACTCTTGCATCGAAATCGATTTAGGCACCGCTGCAATGCGCACTCGCTATTGGCCCCGAATCAAGCAGAGCAAACTCTTCGCCAGATCCCACGCGCGCGGAAAGCCACGCCAAGCAGCCTTAGGCTTTGGAGGCCTTGGTCAGCATCAGGATGGCCTTTTCCAAACTCCCACCTGCAGAGGGTGCGAGAGAAAGTACTGGATTCATCTGGATTCTGGATCCTTTCAGTGGTAGCAAGGAAAGTACTGGAGTTGAAGACAGAGTGTCTATGTTCATATTGCCCGTTTTGGGACTCTTCAGCTTTGTCCCATTCTTTGTTTCTGAAAGGATGACTATGTGACCTCTTCAAAAAGTCTTGGGTTTTTTTGAATCAGGATCATCAATAAGAGTCAACCACCCAGAGAAAAACCCAGGGTCTCGGTTCTTTACCTTGTCGGAGGCTCCGTCGACCCGCGACCCGCGACCGAGGGACAGTGTGAGTTCAATCCATGGAACGGTCTGACGAACTCGAGTGCCAAAAAGCAAGAACCAAACGCCCAGTTGGATCCACATAGAAAGGAACCGACGCAGACGTCTGGTGACGAATTAGATCGAGATTCCAAACTGGTTTTGTTCGTTCGCACCTGCTCTTCGATTGAGTCTGAGCTGATTTGTTTTTCATCGGAACTCGGCCAGGTTCGTTCGGCCAGGTTCGTCCGCACGACCGAGCGGTGCGTCCAGACTTATACACGTGATGGTCCAGTTCCAGGCTTCCATACAAACGAAGGAGTTGTTGAGTAAAGCACGTCTGCTCGACGTCCAAGTCGATGATATAATACTGCCCCATTTAGCGTGCTGCATTTTCGGGGTGTTGCACGCATGTCCGATCAAGTCTTACTCCGCTCCGCTCCGCTCCATCCCACCGACCCTCCGAGGTCGACGCCGCTCCGTCGCGCCGGTCGAAGCGAAGCGGCGAAGGCCTGCACGCTCCAGGCTGGCGCGAGCCGGTTCCTCCTCGAAGCCCATCACCCGCAGGGTGGACATCGCCTCGAAGCGTCGCGATGGCGGAGGAAAGGCGGCGGTGGTTCCGGACGTCCGGGCCCCAAAACCGAGCGCTTCGGGGATGTCTGTGGAACGTCGAATCGACAAATGGATTCAAAATGAGAAGTGGCGTCCTGTTGGAGGTCTCCAACAAGCGCCGCGAACGGCCCCGGCCTGTCGCCGCTGGGGGCTCGGCACCGCGCGGCGGGGCACGGGAGAGGTGTCCAGTTTGGCCTGATTGGGCTGAAGAAAAGGTGGGGAGAGAGAGAGCTGGGTAGGAGCAGAGTCATGGGATGTGTTTGGTTTCCTTATGAGTTAAGTTTATGTACCAGCATCCTCCAACAGGTCTCCTTTAGAGGATTCTTGGGTCCCAACAGGTCTCAATGGGTGACCTGTTGGAGGATGCTGGAGCTGCTGGTATACCTTGCATGAACCTCAACAAGGTCTCCAGCGTTTTGGTCATACCTCCTAACAGCAAAAAAGTGGGCCAGTCTCATTTTGTTCAACAAACCCCAAAAAAGAGACAATGCAATGGCCTACCAGGCCATCCTTTCCAAAAATGAGTCAACTCCAATTGGATCCATTTGGATGTTTCTCATTATCAGAAGCCAATGGGAATTGTATTTATATACCCAGATGCCCCTCAGGCTCCCAGGCTCCCTTCGCCTTCCCACGTGGCTCTCGCGCCCGTTCGCACAGCTCGAAGCCCAGCTGCCGAAGACGCCGCTGGGCCGGTGGCGGCGGCCTGGGGCCGATCGGTGTGAATCCGTGCGTGTCAAGGGTGCCGAATGCCAGTGCCAATGGTGTTTCCCGGTTCCTTGGCTTTTTGCGCCCCCCTTCCCACTGGTTCCTTGAAATAGGGGTGTTGGGTCGACGGCCACCAGAAAAAGAGGGCCGAGGGGTCGGCCTCGGTGAGGTGATTTGCTGGGGACAAAAGAAACAACTGTCACAGATGTTTTTGTTGGGGTTGCTGCTATTAAAAGGATAGAAGGCTCAGAGCTCGATGGAGGGGTAGGTGGCTCCTGATCACCTGATCAGACCAAGCCACCTCTCAAAATACTCCCGCTTTTGGGGGGGGCGTCCCAAACCGATCCCGTGGAAAATCCCACCGGAATCGGTGGTGGAAGAAACAGCGGATCTCACACCGTGAAACCCGGACTTTCAGTGATGCTGCGGTGATGCTGAACCATAGCTGCGCGATGTCACCATTCTGTTTGAGATGGACCATGGCTTGGAGTGACATCGACCCAGCGGTAAAGACGACCCATTTCTTTTTCGGTGCCTTTGTCAGGTGAGACAGTCGTCCGACCATATGTCAGACCTAGTCGGCCCTTTACAGGTTGCACTCTGCACCACCCACCTGTCACCAACCGAAAGTCGCACCGTCCCTTTGTCAGGTGAAAGTCGCAAAGCGGGATCACCCCAATCCAGCGGCGTGTGAGGAACGAAATGCTTTAGCATGCATGTGAATGTCCAGCTGGGAGGGCAGTTGACAATGTGATCATGTATGGTATGGAAGGGATATTGGAGCTGAGTATATAGAGGGAAAGTCAAAACAACCGAATCCCTGCTCTTGCTGCCACCCGTTGCGACCAAAGACCATGAAAGACCCCACAGCGGATTTCAGAGGAAAAAGATTGAAAAATGCGACGAAGACTCATTGCAACTGAACGGCTGGATTGAGACATCTCACCCAAGTTCACTCAAAATTTCACAGCTTCACTTCAAAAAAGGAGCCCCATCCTTCATCCTTCAACACTGGACGCAAAAAAGGGGGTTTAGGATGCCCTGGCACCTTTTGGGGCGTCGGTGTCCTGTGCTTCAAGGTCTCTTAAAGACGCCCAACGATTCAGACCTCGCAAGGATTGTTGGTCTGCGATGTTTAAGGAAAAAGAACCCCTCACCCATGCTCACCCTATATACTTCTATACTTCCAGCGCATCTTCCTTTGGACACCGAACACTGCAACGGGGTGGGCGGAGTTCCGCGGAAGACCCCGGCGGTGCCCGGCCTTTGGGGAGGCCTTCTTCGTGATGCGTCGCGCCGGAGCGGCCGACGGCGGAGCCGACGGCGGAGCCGGCGCCGCCGAGCTCGCGGGGGCAGCGGCCACCTGGGGGGTCGCGGGGGGCGACCAGAACATGGGCCAGGTCACCGAACCTGGCCCAACGACCCTCTAAGGGTGGTATGGTGATTGTTGGGTCAAACCAACGGCTTTGCAGAGGGTATCCGTCTGAACAGAGTGACCTCACTTCAGCGGAACGGCGGCGCGCGGCGAAAACCCGTCGGCGGGTCCTTTCGGAATCGGAACCTGAGTACCGTTCTGTGGGCAGGTGGACCAGCGGAAGTCCCAAAATATGGGATACCCAGGAAAAAAGACAAAGAATGAAAGCCTACGACGCCCACAACCTGCGTGATTCTCTCTCTCTCTATGTCGCTTTCAGAGCCATGCGCGGATGCCCAATGACCATTCTCGGCGGGGGGGAGGGCATAGAACGTCCTACCGTCCTACCAACGCTTGGGGTCGGTGTCCATTCGTACGGTCCCCGCCCTGGCAGCCTCGGGTTCGGATCTCGCGGGGCAGTAGCACCCAGAGAAGAAGCAGCTGGTGGCCCAACAAAGAAGGGGTGTCTTCTTGGACACCCTGAGAAGCCTTTTCAGAGCGAAGGTGCACCATTTTGCAATCAGAAGAAAGCAGATGAATCCGTGCTTTCTTCCTTTTCGACCAGCTGCACCATCTGCTGTCCCCCTTCAAAGCCCGGTTTTGCCCACGCACGGCTCCGTTGGCCTCCACCAGGCTGGAGGACGAAGAGGCCGAGGTCGAGGCCTTCACTTTTGCTCACGCAGAGGGCAACGGTGGAAGGCGAGGAGCAACGGTGGCGAGTTGATGGTGATCAGTCATGCTGTAATTCTATGTTGATGTATTTTGGTTCACCCATAGGTTCCAAAACACCTTCCGGAGGAGATAATAGATAGGAGGTCTGGAGGAGGAGGTTCCAAAACACAGGTTTCGGTCGGAGGAAGGTTCCAAACAAAGGCTTCGGAGGAAGGTTTGAGGAACGTTCCGGTCAACGCAGCCTCGACCTGGTGGATCATCTGTTCGAGCAGAAGAGGCCTGCTGGCTGTGTATCAGCATGAAGCTTGATGGTTTGTGACATAAATTACTAAGAACACACAACATGTTTCTGGCTGTTGGGGATTTTCCTTGGGCATATTCAATATGATAGGTTCTTGTTCTTGGGGACCTGGAAAAAATAGAACACACAGCACCTCCCCTGAGTCTGTTTTCGTGGTTTCTGTTGGGTTGAAAAGCGTCTTTGTCGCGTTCAAGAACTTCCCATATCGAAAAAGTAAAACACTGTGGCTCAAGATGGTGAAACTCTTATTCCATATCTCCCAAACCTCTGCCAGTCGGCCTGAAATTCCTACACCAAAAGAAGTATATGGATTGAATGTAATGCGTGAGATTGGGAAATGGTGTGAAATGGATTGAAATGGTTCAACCATACAAAATAACAAAGAACCTCCAAGCAAACGACCACCTGCCACCGCCCACCGGCCACCTGCCACCCCGCCCGGTGCTCTGCCTGTGCAGCTTGCCCACACAGGTCATCCTGTCCTGGCGTGCCGACACGTCCTGATTGAGGGCTTTCTAATCCATGAGAAGTTCAGATGGGGAAGCTTTTGGGGAAGCTTAGGAATGGATGGAACATCTCCGATTTGTCCATTCTTTCTGACCACAAGATGGGTGGCCACGGAATTATGCAGAGGCTGCAGCTGGTGGGTGTGTCTTCCCCAAGACGTGTCACAGTGCCGGGAGACTCAAGCGACTGACCCAATCCATCGACAGCGGTGTCTACCCTGGCGACTGCAACAATCATGGAATTGGAATGGCCCCTGAACAGACGCCCTGCCCCCCTTTTTCTCCGATTTGACACACAGGGGGAGAGGGTATCCTCCACTTCCATCCAAGGACGTTTCAGGGAACTGGACGGATCCTGGATCGCTCGTCGTTCGGTGTACCACCACGGCCGACGCGCACGTCGCGTGGGCCACGGATCGGTCGTCCTGGACCCAAAGGAAGGAATTCAGATATCCGGTTTCTATTCAGCGCCCTGGCAGACTTCGTGGGATCCATTTCGAAAGCCGCCCTGGCAGGGGAGGAGGACGGCACAGTCCGGTGGTCTTTGTCATTCAAGGCGGAATCGCCAGATCTGGCAATTCGAAAACCAGGTGGGCCTTCTCCCCAACGCATGTGGTCCAATCCTCAAGATGAACCAACCAAATCCATCCGCATGATGGTTCTAGAAGGAGAGGACCCAAAAACGGTGTTGTGGAAGATCTGGACCCCACCGACCCGTCGACCGGTCGACTTGACCGATTTGATGCCTGGCTCGTCTTGCAACGGCAGGAGGCCGAAGTCCGTCTCCCAAAGGCTCACCTGGCGAGCAAGGGAAGGTGGAGGGAAGATCAGCTCCACCAGGCTCACCTGGAATCCTGAAGAACCTCACCTGGTATGATCTCTTCAATGAACCTATGCACCAGCGGCCCAAGGGTGTGATCTTAATGTCGAAGAGATCCAGGGGATGCGATTCTGGAGGTCGTAAACGGGATCGTTTTTGAAGAAGCATGAAGTGACCAGCTGGTAGGTCTTTTCCTGTGCATCTACACCTTGAATTGCATAGTCGGAACGTAACATGGAGATACATTAAAACACTGCATGAACGGACATCTCTCGGGAAAGCCGAAATGCCCAGATCGACCGGACCGAAGACTGGGTCACCCCTTCTCGGGGCGAGGGTCAATCGGTCCCCCCTCTGAACAAAGCGTTGCACGCCCCACCTGAAGGATTGCCCAAGTGGACAAACACCATCAAGAGCCCCACATGGGATGGTCCGTGTGCCAGTTGCTCCATGTCAAATCAGTCACTGTCATGACAGCTTTATTGGCGCCGCGTCGGACACCTGCCAAAAAGACGTTCGGAGCATCTGCGCACCGTTTCAGCGTCGTTCGGCGTCGCTAGGGACGTCATGGAACGTCTAGCCTCCCATCTATCTGCGCGCACTGGCCGACCCAAATCCGATCCGATCAATTGAAAGCGATGCTGACGTCGTAGCTCGTGAATATACCTGAAACCTGGTGAATTCTCTCTACCCTAAGAATCCGGGCCCTCAAACACATAGGATTTTGAGGGCCCAGACCCCTGCCATTGAGGGTCCGACCCCTACCATGGAGAGCCCGCACGGATTCTTAGGGTATGTTGTTTCTGGAGCTCCGATCGCTTGCGGCGACCGCCTCGCTCTCATCGGAGCTGGTCTCGTCCGACGAGGAGCTTGTCTCGCAGGAGCTCCTCGGGGCGTAGAGCGGAGCGACGGGAAACGCATCCCGAACCGGTGGGGGTAAGCAGGAATCAACAAAGGGATGGTGCAACACAGGGCACCTGGAAGTGGTTGCGGCATCTTCTGTCCCGTATACAGAAAATATGCACACATGTGCTATATACATAATTATATTCAATGCACATGTGGTTACTATCAATCGGAGCGGAGGAAGGAGAGATTTCTGAACATGAGGGGTGTCCCTGCCATGAGCTCTGCCGATCGGTCAGCTTCCGGGAGCTCCGAGGAACAAAACATGGAACCATCATGAACCATCCATCGATTGGTGGAACGAAGCGGCGACCACCCGGGATCCATGGTCCTGGGCTCCTACGGAGAAGGGAGAACATGGGAGAACATGGGTTCTTCAGGTGCTGCAAAGAACTTCAAACATGCCATGTGAAGTTCTCTGCATTTGGGTCACCCTCGACAGCCCGGGGCGCCCCCTATGAAGATGCACAAAAATCCCAACAGATTTGAAGTCAGACCCGTCAAGAGGAACATCCGTCCAGGTGAGAAGCCTGGCGCGGGTCGCCTGCTCCTTCCAAAAAAGCACCTCCTTGGAGGGTTCATCACTTTTCGACCCTCGGATGGGTTCATGCGCATCCGAACCACAGTAAAACCAAGTTACGGCCCGGTCACATGCACACGAGCCCCGCGAACGAACGATCTTCATGGAACCTAACCCGTGGGCCTCATGCCCCGAGCCCCCCCAAAAAATCGGCGCTCAATGCATTTTTGCGGGCGTTTCGCCCTCTCAAAAGGCCTCAAGGCCCCGAAACGGCGGACCCAAAAAGTTAAATGATCTCCAAAAACCTCAGGCCTTCCATCGCCCACGAATGCCAGTCACAGGCACTCCACGTCAGCCACCACGACCGCCTGCGCCATCTCCGCATCCCCGTCGAGGGCGATCCCCGCAGGCACCGCCGCAGCCGCGGTGCGGCGTGGACTGGGCTGGCTCTCAGGGTCCTGGATCGCGGGGATGTGCGGTCGCAACAAGCTTTCTGGTGGCTGAGGTTACATGAAGGTGAAGGCGATCCATTTTTTCCATATAGAAATCCTTCGTTTTTATCATGTTGGGTGATCCTCTTGAAACCGCCCAATCGAAGCTATAACCTTCCGGGCTGGCAAAGGCCTGGAGGTATCCTTTTTTGGTGGACTATATGTTTATGTGTTTTTCATTGGAACTGCCGTAGTTGGCCTGCTTTCTGGTTGTCGATGGTGACCATCCAGCATTCCGCAAGAATTTCCGAGTTGTGAACGTTGCAAGAACAGAAGACTTTTCGGACACTTCAACAAACCTTACGGAAGCCTTTAGCCGCTTTAGCCCCCCCCCCAAAAAAAAGAACATGAAAACTAGCCACCCCTGCTGTCCAACCCCGAGACAGACGTCCATCGTTTCAGTCCTCCTGCCGATAGAGGTCACGCTTTCGCTTCAACGGCTTTCCCGTCAAATGGACCTGGCAGCACTGCAGCACCGTTGAAGGTCTTTTCCGGTGGGACGAGTTCAGGGAGAGTTCCTTACGCAGATTAAGATCGACCCCCTGGGAGTTCAGTCGATCATCTTTAAAAAAACGTCTCTGACGAACGGTGATCCGAAAGGGAAGCTCCTTTACTTTGAGTGGTGCAAAAAAAATAGTCTTTGGACTTTATAGAGAAGATGTCCTTCAGATTTGAGGGACACTCAACAGAATACCTCAGACTAATCCAGTCCACATTGTGGATTATGTATGAATATGTATCTGGTATCTTCATCAGGGCTCACCCAGGTCCTTGCTCTTCGGTGAAGTTCGCCTTTTCTCCCCACCTTTTTGGAGCCTCCGTGTCTTCTCTCGCACATCCCGAAAACCGCACCGCGGGTTCCCCGCGTTCCTCCCCCCAACCCGCGCGTTCTCCCTCCTCTTTTCGGCGACTTGGACCGGTCGCCGTCCCGTCGCCGTCGCCCGTCTTAGGCGACGCCCATGGGACCGGTCACGGAGATGAGGGTCAGCTCGTGAATGTCGTCGAAGGAGCCGTGGCAGGGCATCCCCAGCGGCGACAGCGAGGTGATGCTCCAGTGATTCTCGGCACCCGGGTGGGGATGCGAGGGAGTGGGGATCGGGTGGAGGATCAGGATCGGCGGAGAAGGCCGAAGTGAGAGTGAAAACCCGAACAGCTTCGATCGCCCATCTATCTCTCCAGTCATGGGAGGGTTCGACGTTAGATTCACCTGCACTGCAACACATCACCTCCGTTCATCTTCGAAGCCACGTTTCCGTCTCGACAACACTGAACCCAAGAAGGGATACAATGAGGACGGACACGTTTCCCCCCAAAAAGGTTTTCCCAAAACGGCTTTCCCAACGACCAAGGTCGCTCGCCCGTCGCTCGCCCGTCCATACCGTTGGCCTCGGAGACGGGCGTGATCTCCGACATCCATGGGGTCGGAAACAGGAATTCACAAGCCCCAAATTCGTAAGGCCTCATCGTTTTCCCATCTCTTCCACCTGCTCAGTGTCAGGCCATTTGTTCCTCCGACCAGCCACGTGCCATGTCTGCAATTCCTAGTTTTCATCCTCCCTCCTCATCCACCAAGGCGCACCCTTCTTTCCCCTCCAAGGCGCTCTCTTCAAGCTGGGTTCGCTGCTGGTCCTCCGGTCCTCCAGCAAGGGCGCCCGTTGCTCCTCCATGTCCAGGTACTCCTCCTCGTCGATCGGCGGCAGGCCCTCGGCCTCCGCATCGCTATGAAGCAGCAGCAGCGCCACGGTGCTGCCGATGACCTTGAGCGCCCAACCTCCCGGGCACTTATGGCCGCACCGGGGACCAAGGGTCTTGAGTCCCAAGGAGAGGCAACCGCCTTCATGTTGGCGTTTTAGGAGGTTTCACCCCCAACATGATTGGCCAGAGGTCGCCTCACCCAAAATGTCTTCCACTTCCCACTTCCCACTTCACCCCAGCTTCATTCAAAGAACCCCTGGATCTCTCACCCGCGTGAAGCAACACCCGCGCAAACGACGCTCGCTCACCGCGCGCGAACGCCGAACGCGGCTCGGCTGCGTCGTCCGGGCGACGAGCGCCACGCCGGTGGCGAAGAGCACCACGTTGGGCGCCCCGCTCAGGTCGTTCAGCTCCCCGAAGGCCAGCTGCGCCTGTGGCGGGAAAGAGAAAGGGACGCCCCACTCGTGAGGGACCTGCAACGGGCCACTGGGTTTGATGTGGAAAAAACCCGGTCTAACGGAGTCTAACGGTCCAGGTGAGGTAACAAGTCTCAGGGTCCAGGTGAGTTTGGAGTGTAAGCGGTAGCGATTCGGCTCTGCTTCCCTTCTTGGCGTGGGCATGGGCATGGCGTGTGCTAACCACCCTTCTGGTACCTAAAAGAAGGGGCACCAAGCAGCAAGCAGCAAGTACTCTGTATCCCTTTCAAAGATGTGCAGTATTTAACACCATGTCTATCTATTTGGGAACCTCCATGACACCATCATATCCGTCTTGAACCTTTGCAGCTCCTGTGCATTTCCTCAGGCCTGTCGTTTCTCACATCACCTTTCAGCTCTCACCTCCAACTGTGCCAAACCCTATCCTTTCTGTGCCAAACGCGCTGCACTCCCATCGCTACTACCAAAGCTGACAGTCGCAATGAACCAAACCAGTGAAGACTCCCGCCTGAGTCTAGCTACGGAAGCTGATTCCAGCCAGCTTCCAGCAACAGCTAATGGGGACTGCAATCCGGCACTGTCCGTGCTTTTTCATCTCATCCCTCGACCCAATGCCAGTTCCCTTGTCTGCCTGCACGAGGCTAAAAAGAACGCCCAGGGCAAAGAACGTGGGGATGACAATGACCACATCCCCATGTCGAAGACCCTGGCGCGGCTTAAATATGCGTGAATGTTCATGCTGGGTCGAGGTGGTCAAGATCTCAGTGGAGAGGGGGGTCGCCTCGTTGAATTTGCAGATCCAGTTCGGACGTAACATGGTCGTTTCAGGAGGAATCTAATAGCAGTCTACTTGGACTCCACTTGGCTCCGTGGGCCAAAATGGGCAGGGCTCTTGGAAGAAACCACTCCGTAGCACCCTTCAACCCTACTTCTTGTAAATCGGATCTACCCTTCATGACATAAAGCCTTGAAGTGTTTGACGCAAGTTCTGTCAAACAGTTTGCCTCTGAAGCCTCTGAAGGTGGGTTTGCACACCAAAAGCCTCCAGTTGAATCGATATTGCCCAGATGCTCGTGGACCCTCCTAAGTAGGGGCCGTACCCTCATATGGAGGGGTCCGGACCCTCAAATCCCTATGGACCAAGGCTTGTTTGGAGCGTCTGGGTGAACACGAAAAAAGGGGTCATAATTGGCATGTGCGAAAACCAACTGCTCCAATGCACATGGACCCTGGGTCCATGGCCACGATCACGAACCGCACGGCCGTTTTCGGGGGACGCCGGGACGGAGCCTGGCCTGGTTCATGCTGGTGATTTGTATGGTGACAATGCCTGGCGGAGACGTTTTCATCAGCCCCCGATCTCATCCCTTTCTCCTGCCCTAAGAATCCGGGCCCGAAGCAACACATAGGGTTTGGTTCGGGCCCAGACCCCTGCCATTGAGGGTCCGACCCCTGCCGAGAGCCCATACGGATTCTCTAGGGTGGATTCTGGTGGGTTTTTCAAAGCTGACAGAACCTTCAAAAAGAGCACCCACCCGTGGGCGACCGGACCAACGCCCCGGCGAGAGAACGGACGGACCCCGAAGCGCCCGAGCCGACCGAGCCACGGAGCCAGCGGACGTTTGAGGCCAAGGACCCCTAGTCAAATGGATGGGTCCGAGCTCGAATCCTTAGTCCCAATAAGAAAGACGTCCTTGGAGTGACATGGAGTCAAGGGATGGGTCGGTAAAAAACAAGATGTCGACTGTAATGATGTATGATACGGATACCGTTGCAATACAGGATATATATACACGCGTTGTAGGGAGATGTCCAGTCCCATGGGATGGTTTGGGCTTTGCACGGAGGAAAAGATGGGTTCTGACTTTGCTTTTCAAATTCGTCCAGGCCATTCGAATGGATCCAGCGCACCGAGGGCCACGACAGCCAAGGCATAGAGCTCCAAGTTCAACCACCATCCTTGGAGCACGGCCAGGCACTTTCTCTGCTGGAGGGAATTGGAGAGTCCTCCCCGACTTGGAAAAGTGCGAATGGATGGCGTGAACGGGAGATGAAGATTGGCTGTTGGATGGTTACCAGGTCTGATTTCATGGTTTCATGGGTGCTCAGGTGGTTTTTTAACAACAGCCGAGGGAGGTGGTTGAAGATTTGCTCTTCAGAACTTTTGGGGTGTTGAGTGCAAAACCCTGCAGGCTCATGTCAGCAAGGAAACTCTTTTCATCTCCACCATCGGCACCAGCACCGGCACCTTCGCCCCAACCACTCCGCCCGGTCTCGCCCGACTCCCACTCGGGCAACGCCGACGAGGGGCGAGAGGTGCGGCCGACCACCTCGGCGCCGCACTTGAAGAAGGTCATCGAGTAGCTCCTGACATGGGAGCCGCAGAGCATCGGCGGCGGGAACGACGCGGCGCACGCCGCGTTTCGCGGCGAACACCGCGGTTCGCTGCGTTCAGCGACCCAAAACCGGGGGGGTCTCGCCAGCTCCCCTGACGGGAGGCTTGGTAACCATTCGAACCATTCAAGAACCCACCCACCATCCCCCCGCATTCCCTGGGCGCCAGGCCCAGTGGCGGCACAGGTGAGGCCCAGGAAGATGATCTTCAACTGACGGTCGTTCGAGGCATGGAGCCACGGAGCCGAGAAAGGAAAGGAAAGGGCGTTTGGTGGAAGGTCATCGGTGGGGTGGTCTCCTGGGTTGGCTGGTGCGCATCTAATGGGTGCAGTGCTTCCAGCTGCGGTGCTTTTGCTCCGCCTTTCGACGGCCGCGCCTGGGGAAACCACTTGCAGGCAATCCTCAGAGTGACCAAGACGCAGACCACGCCCAGAGCAGTCCATAAGAAGGCAGGGTGTAGGATAGAGTGGAAGATCTGATTCGCATAGACCTGCCGCAGCGTTTGGGGGACAACCGGTCATCCAACCTTCAAACGTCAGGAGGCCATGGGTGTGATCCAAACTTTGTCCCAATAGAATCCAACAGATATATATATATATATATAAGATCCGTGTGGCTTGTGCGAACTTTCTGATAGCTTGTATTACGTGCCTTTCCACGTCCATCTCTCCAACAAGACTTCGACTATGTTCTGTATCATAAGTGAATATTCAGGTCAAGGCCGGCGAGCTCTTCTGTTTCGGTCGGAACAAGACATGCTGATGGGAAAATTGCCCCGCAAAATCCTCTGGTCTCACCGGTTGAGAAATCGTGGCGATTTGGGGGACAGTGGGGGAGAGGATGGACGACAGACGAGGGACGAGGAAGGCCAGAAGATGGACGAGAAACATGAAGAAACTGTCTTATCATTCTTGATGGAAGAGGAAAAATCGTGCACCGGCTGAGGAACATATGATCCGTTCTATGACCTATGACTCTGACCCTTTTCCCTAACCTTCGTGGCGCTTCGTACCGTTCCACCGGGCGCCGCGCCGCGCCTTGCGCTCCTTGGGCACGGGAGTCACACTCACGACTAAGACCTGGGGTGTGGCAGCTCGGGCAGCTCGGGCAGGTCGATGCACTCCAAATGGGCGAATTACACAGCAAATGGGCTCAGCAGATGACTCAGCAGACACGGGCATCTGGCGCCAATCGCCTTTTCACAACCTCTAACTGCATCTTTTCAAGTAGCAGCAGCAAGCCAAGCTCATTTGATCTTTCCACATGCTTTTGTTCACGATGAAACACCAACGCTCCCAAACTGCACCAACCACGGGACCTCGCTGGGTCAGCGGAAAAAGAAGGACACGGACGAAGTCGTCTCTTCGCGACCCAAGGTACCGCACCCAGGACCATGGCACACATCACCAACATCTCGGAATAGCGAAGATGTTCACCCAGTAGGAGATGCGCATACGTGGAGTTGAAGACCTGGCCAGTTCTGGCCAACTTCACTCACGGGCGCGGGGGGGGCAACCTCATCCACCTCCGGCTCGGTGAAGAAAGAAACCCGTGCTTTGGGGGTCCGGTATCCAAAGGGCTGAAGAGAAGAGTTGGACCCGGCGACGAGTTGGAGGACGAAAGAGTTTCAACCAGTTCAGACCACTGATTTCCCGCAGTGGTCACCGTTTTCCACATTTGGATGACTCGCACTAGGAGACCTCCATGAGTTGGGTCGTTCCCAAGTTTTGCTTCCAAACCCTCCCGCTCCCTCTCTGGGTGTTTCTGCCCGTGGACTGGGCCAAGAAGGGCAGTACACCACCACATCCCCTGTCCCAGTAAAGACCAACCTCGCGAACTCCGAGGCACTAAGGAGAGGCCACCCAGGCAACTGAGCATGGTCTGCGGCGCCAACGCCATGGCCGGGATATTGGCTGCCTGGCCCAAGATGAAGGCCGTCATCCCTGGCCGGACATGCGACCGGTCGCCCGACCGTCGCCGGTCGGGGAAGCGACCGAGTAGCCGGTGACCGGCCGGGCCAACTTGAACTCCTGGCTCACTCGAAATGTGGGGGGGGAAAGGGGGCGTTTGAAGTTTCAGAGGAAGCGACTTAGGAAGAAACGAAAGGATACCGTCGCCTTTGACGCGTTTCATCAGGTTTCATAATGGTTCTGTTCAAAGAGTTTATGATGATTACACGGGTGTGTCTTTCTCCTAACCTTTGACCCAGACGGTGGTTCTTCATGAAAAGGAGAGAAGAAGCGAAGAATCCCCTGCACCCGAAGCCATCCACGCTGATCCACTGGAGGGTGAAACTTCAGGGTCTCGTGCAACTTCTCTGTCTCTGGGTGAACTGCAACTCCAAAACAAAAAAAATAGGCCAACAACTCACCAAAACCACCAAGTCTAGTTACTTTGTAGAACTCAAACAACCTCACCACCTCTTTGTCCAACTTTTGATGGGTCATGCCATGGTCGCGGCCTGCAATGAACCACGGCTGCTTGAGGTAGTTGGCCTTCTTGCCACTCTGCTCATTTTGTATATGAGCCATCTTTTGGGTCACCAAGCCCAGGGCCGTCAAGCAGTTCGACAGCACGCAGAGGCAAACGCCCCAAAGCCAGAGTGGAACTCGTTGCAGCACATGCGTCATGTGCGTCGCCTTGGATCGGATGCCATCCTGGGGTGACCGGTGGCGATTCGAAAGACCCGGAGGACCCCAGGTGGGTGTCGATTTTTTTCCAAGTCACCAGGATGAGTCCGGGCAGTGTAGAAATCTCCAACGAGGTGGTGAAAGTTCTACCCGGTAATTCTACCCCACATGGAACCTACCTATGCAACCTACCAACTGGCTTCACTGTGTCACTGGGGGTCTGTGACACCACTTAATGCTTGGTCGGGAATCGCCTCTGTTGAAAGAAACGCCCCTTTCTCTTCGGACCAGTCTCCATCTCTGATTGGTTCCAACTGAAGTTCTCTCGGTCGACTTCCTTCGGCGAAAAAAAAAGAAACCGCCCCTTTTGGGGGTTCACGAAACGAGTCTTTGGTTTCGTCGGAGCGCCAGCCTTTCATATTGGGAACAAGCTGAAACCAACGTCGGTTGCTGGGGCTGGGGGTTTTGATCCACCTGGTCACCACCCTGCCGTCACGGGCGGCCTACCAGGTCACTGTCATGTCAAGTGGCAATGGTAATCATCGGTTCGATCTCGGATGTCTGGCCCCCAGGCGCTCGCCGCTGAAGACGGGCGGCGCTGGGAACCCCCAGAAGCCACGCCCGGGCATCTTTTGAGCCATCACCCGCGGCGGAAGACGGACCCGTTGCAAGCCACGTGAAGTTTCGCGAGACCCCCCCCTTGTTGCGACTTCGTTTGACCTGGTCTAAGACCATGATGTGAAGCCAGGTTCCAACCCCTGCCCAGTGCTCAAGAAAAGATAGGCTGCTCTTCCCGAACGTCTGGCCATCCACCACCTGTGCCACACGCTCACCACCTTTGCCCGCCGGCCCACACCCGCGAACGCATCGGACCGCTTTCACCGGCCTCGGAGCGGAAGTAGCGCTCCCTCTCCTCTTCCCGAGCCGCCTCCCCGCGGGCGCTTCCGGCGCTTTCCAGGACGGTCCCGCCGGTCCCGCTGCGGATCCGTCGGGGTTCCGGTCCCGCCTTCAGCGCTTCGGGCGCCAAGTCCTCGGCCTCCAGGGCCACCAGCCTCCACGGGGGCAGCACGCCCTCCAGGACCTGAAACCACTCGACGTGCGAATGAGGGCCCACCGGTGGGAAGGAAAGGCACGCACACGGAGTATGCGACCGGGACCCGGGAGAAGTGGGTTTTGGGAGTGTGAAGGCAAGGAGATCGAAGGAGATGGCGGTCTTTGAATCAACCCTGAGAAGGCGGCCATGAGCAAAGCGTGGTTCACGGGCTCCAGGCATCTGCAGGCATCTGCAGGCATCCGCCATTCTGCAACCAAACCAAGAAGATGCAAACACGGACACTCACGCACCTTGGCCCAAACTTCTGTTCCCGCAAGACAAGCATTATTTGTGCGCTATCACCCTGCCATGGGGAAGATTCGGACACTGTGCAGCTCGTGGTCTACGTTTGGTCCATGGCTTTTTGGTCCTGCCAGAAAGAACCAGAAACTTCGCAAGGATAGGGGTGCTAGTTGGAGGACCCACAAACGGGCGCTCCGTGTCCCTCTGTTTTCAATCCACATATTTCACGGACCTACACCAAGTAAAATCCTTATAATTGAATCTTATTAGAGTCAAAACCAAATACCAACATCCTCAGTGCCCCCGTCCGGCCGGCCGGAAACCGGGCCCGTCCGACATCGGTCTCACCTGGCGGAGCAGCTTCCCGTCGCTGGAGCCCAAGTTGTGGCTCAGGCCTCGGAAGCAGACGCCGGGGAACCAACGTCAAGGGAGCACGGAGCGAAGGGGAGTACGCCCAGTGAAAGCACGGTGGGCACGGTGGGCTTGGTGCTTGGAGAGACTGACAGGACTGCCGGCTGTGGCCGCTTTGGGGAGAGCAAGAGGCTTTGAAGAGCAGCTGGCATGCCACTAAAACACGCTCAAATTCCGGATCCAAAACAACACCAGCCCAGCCCGAGAAAAAGCCACGGCAATGCGAGAGCAAATGTTCTTCAGCCAAGTGACTCCTCGCACGTTGTCGGTACTCTTTGGGATCCTTGCCACATTTCTCGAAGAGCGCTCGCTCCACCCTGCTACAAGCATCGAAGCAGGCCTGGCACCGGCACCGGAAGAAAACCCCACGCATTGCCCCCACCCCCAGCTGGTCCAATGAAGCGATGGGTCCGGCCTTGCCCGTGCGCGCAGCGATGCGCATGAGGATCCCCACGAACTTGCTTCTCATGCTTTCGTCCAGCGCAGATCCCGCCGACCGCGCGGCCGACTTCGGGAGAACCTCCGCAGCGACAGGTCGGCCGAACCGGGACAGCGAGGACGGCCGGGGAGACCCGGCCTTCACGGTCGCCTTCACTACCCCAAAGTCGCACGGCTGTGTCGAAGTGTGGCCGCAGCATGTTCTCTTTCAACTAACATGACAGGGGGGCGGTCTTTGGAAAAGACCTTTCGGAGGCTTTTTACACTTCGGGGGGTCCAAACTCCTGGATGGCTTTGGGAGTGGGGAGAGAGGTAGCCAAGGCTGCTCCAAGGTTCTCGGAGCCATGGGCAAAGAGATGGACATCTGGACTTCCGAACAGCCTCTGTTTCGCTTCTGCCGAAGCTGCAGCCATTGAACCACTTAGATCGTTCTTTCGCCTCAAAAGACCTAAAAAGAAACAGTCCAAAGAAACCTCACCCTTCGTCCTCGCCTCCGTCTTCTTGGTCGTCCTGGTCCTCCCCACCTCAGGGCGGCTGCGCCGGGCGCGCGCTTCTTCGCCGCTCCGTCCTCCCGGTCGGGTCCTCCCGGTGCCGTCCTCCCGGCAGCTGGGAGCCCGAAGTCCATCCAGGGCGGTGCACGCCTTTTGACCACATTCCCTTCACGGAGACGGTCTAAACACCATGCAGTTCACCCTGTTTTCCCCAAGAAACGTCCCAGTGGTCCACACGAGCAAAGTCTGGTGCCCGGCGGCGGAGGAGAATCTCTTCCCCAGCCAGCCAGCTAGCCCTTCACGAATGCCACAACACGGAAATGGTTCGCTCATACATGTCACCACATTGACTCTGGAAGGAACCTCTGGGTGACAACAGGTGCCCACAAGCCACCCGAGCACAGCGGCTCCTCCGAGCACCTATCTTGGCTGGAACCTATTCATATGAAGCTTTTTCCAAGCTCAAACTCTTTAGGGAGCGCTTCTTAGGACCTTAGGACCTCTTAGCCACGTCCCCATATCGTTTTGAAGACGCCTGTCGACTTCCGCGACTCCCTGTTCCCTTCCACCCAACCGGTCCGGTGAAGCGGGCCTGTGGCGCCTCAGCCCACTTCCGCAGCAGCGCGCTCAGCCGGCCGCCGACCTCCGCGCCCATCGCGGCGCCGGCGCCCTGCACCGCGGCGCGCCAATTGGGCAAGGCCAGGGTCGAACGCTGAGGATTCGAGAGGCGACTGTCCAAGGATTCCAGGGCCTGGCAGAAAAGAACGGAGGACGTGACGTCTATATGGATCGAAGTTGCCATTGACCAATTCCATCATCCCTTCACTAGGCCAGGGAGCCTGGTATGACCTGCTTCAGGAAGCCTCAAAAAAAACGGAATGCGCTTGGGGCTCCGCTCACACCAACTGAGAAGAGTCGTGACCACTCAGGATTTTGACCATACTAGTGGGCTGAAACCGTGCCCCTTGCTGCACCTCAACATGGCCCACATCAGTGGGAGATAGGACAGCATTCTTCTTTCGTTACTGGAAGCTCTCTTCGATCTCCCACTCGCTTCGCCCAATGGAACCTGGCTCCACCTTCTCCCGCTCGTCCGCTCGGAGGTCCCACGTCCGAGCCGCGAGCCAGCCGCGATCCGCACCGCGACGTGTCGCCCCTGTGCCCGCACCAACCACCGACCCCCCCGCAAACTCGATCGCTTGCCCCTTTCAGGAGACCCCCCACCAACACCGGCACTGCACCACATAGAAACACCACCCCGACACATGCACACTGACGCCCGACTTCATCGCGGCGCGCCGTCCGCGCTTCGCGCGGCGCGAGGCTCTGGCCTCCACGAGGCCGATGGCCTTGGTCACGTCCCGACTCTCAGCCAAGGCCTCCTGAGACGGAACCGCGCCCAGGGCGGACTGGATGAGTTCTTACACTCTCAAGTGCAACCCTCACAAGACATGATTCTTTTCAAGAGTCGTTCATACACGACGCCCTCTCTTGCTGTTCGAACGCACCGTGTTTGGGCGGCCTCTTGTGCCCCACACCGTCTCTTGAACCACACCGAAAGTGGGGAAAGCCCAAGACCACGTGCAATCCCAGCGGCCACAGCGGCGCGCAAGGCCTTCGAGGCCTGTTGCAGCTGCACAGGATCCTGGGGCGCGCTTCTTGCAGGACGGCACCATGGCATGACTGGCGCAGAATGCAACACTGAAGACCAGGAAAGCAGCAGACCCTGACATGGACCCTGACACTTGCACCCACCAACTCTCGCGGAAAAAGCACCCTTGTTCGCGAGTCCAAATCCGCCCACACCGTCCACGCCCAGTCCGCCAGCCTTGAGCTTGCTGCCCCTCAGCTGCTCCAGCTGCTTCTGGCCCCGCGCCAGCATCGCGCTGGCCTCCTCAGTACCCGGAGGGTGCGAGGAGTAGGCAAGAGCTGCCTCTATTGATGGCTCTAAGCATCACAAGAAAGGTCTCCAGGTGGCCCTGCAGGCTGACAAATTTCCTTTTTTAACTAAAAATCTATGAACGAAGGCAGCACTGTGTCAAAGAAGACCATGTAGAGATGAGTCTCGACCAAAATTTTGCTGGGACCCCACGAAGTATGGGAATCATGGCTTTGCACAATCTGTGCGCCCTTCCCCTGGGCCACGAAGTCAAGATTGACCAAACTACCATCAAACAAGAGTGCCTTAGCAAAGCCTGAAAACTTGAAAAAAACAAGAACTATAAGCATATGGCTTCGCCTGATCTGAGCGTGTGACATGAGTTTATCTCAGCAGTTTCCGGGATCCTCCCGCATGCCGGGCGTCGTAGGGCTTCCGCTCCTGTGTCGACAGTTCCGCCCACGCGGCTGCCAGAGCCTGGGCGCATCGAAGCGGAGGCACCAGTCGGGGGTGCCCAACGAACGGAGGACGTCGGGGGTGCCCCTGTCACATCCACTCACTGACTTAGGGACGCAAAAACACCCCGACATGTGACTCCTGGTCCAGGACCTCTTTTTGCTGGGGCCTTCACCTGGGTAGAGTAGACACCCCATCTCAGTAGATTCTTCACACTTGGAGAAACCCCAAGACACCCCATTTCAGTGACTGAAGGCTGCAACCCTCGCCGGCCAACGGTGCGTCGCACTCAGAATCCAACCTTGAAAAAGGGGAGGAAGCCATGTGAACTGACAGAAACGTTGCCAGAAAGCAGCCAGGCAACCAGCTCCATTCAACCAAAAGAAAAAGCAATTATGTCGAGAATGTATGATCGTCTTGCAGGAGTGTGGGGCATGTCCGAAACAAACAAAAAAATGGAACGTTTGAGGATGAATTTCACGCTGCGACAGAACGTGCCTGTCTTCTTTCTCTTGCATTTAATAGACCCATGGTATTCACCGAAAAGTGCGTTTGTGTTTGTTAATGCTCAGTGAACATGTTCCGCGATCGAAAGGTCCATCTGGGATGGCCCGAATCGATGCAGCAAAACCTGTCAAGCTTGCCTCGTCGTTGACCATGTGCCCCGACCAAACAAACTTAGTTAACCCACAAATGAGCACAGCATATATATCAGTAGACCTGAAGCCCGTTTTCACCCTGGTAGATTGACACTGCTTGGTGGTCTATTCTCTTCATGTTCGGTGCCACGCTCCGGTGCCATGCTCCGCATCCGCCCGAGACGCGGATCCCTCCGGTGGCGCCTTGGAAGCTGCGCCCAAGTTCTTCGGGTCGCTCAAGTGGACCTTCGCGAGGACGTCCTTGCCTCGTGCCGAAGCCGGACGCAGCTCGGTGCCGGACTCCGGATCAAAGAGTTTCTATACCATGCCATGCCAAAAATCGAACCAAAAACAAGGAAGAACTAGATTATGTTTCAAGACTACCGCCAAAAAGTCCATCTCTAGTCTCAAACGTAGTTTGTAGTCATGATCAAAGGAATCAAATGGTTGGTTTGTAGCCAAAACATGGGACCGGTCCTCGTCCGAACCACTCCCGGCGGACCGGGTCCGGCTCCGTGGTCCGGCTCCGGCCGCGGTCCGGCTCCACGGGTCCGGTCGCACCGTGGAGGCCGGGGGGGGGTTTTGGAGCCGATCTGAGATGGCATCCAATCATCAAAACAAGCCTCAGAAGTAGATCTTCTTCAATCATCCAATCTACTTCAACCTTTTGGCATCTTTTTGCCTTCCCAGGTCACACAAGCTCAAAGAGCGTGCGTGAGGTGTCCTCTCCCCAAAACGAACAAAACAACGGACGTCCTGGCATTCCGGCCGTGCCCCCCCGGTCGACTCTGTGGGAGTGGAGTGTGCCACGAGCTCGCGCTGTTCGTACAGCCAAACAGCCAAGCCACGCGCTTCCTTGGAAAAGCACGCGAAGGCATGCTGGGAGCGACCTGGCGACGCACCCGCGCGGGTAAAATGGCCGACGCAAGACGAGGGTTTGTTCTGCCGTTGGTCGATCGAGTCGATCTCGGCTTGGTGGCCTCTGATTCATGGTTTTCCAGTCTGATATGGATCAGTCTAATACTGGGTTTCTCAACAGTGCTTCATTGATCTCTCCTGCACAAAAGAACACTTCGAGTATAGAAGATTGAGTCCCCACAAACACATAAGCTCAGTCTTCCCCACATCAGTCTTGCCTCCCAGCTTTTGCCAAGCTATGGACTATGAACCCGCCCTTCGTTGATCCCTGAGGTAACGGAAACCCTTCCGCGTAGCCATGGAGCCATCGAGCCGTCAGGGTCAATGCCATCCCCCGGTGACTCGTTCAAAAGGGCGCCCATGCCGCATGGCGCAGCATGACTGAATTCAAAAAGGTGCTGTCACATCATGACTGGGCTCACGGTTCAACATCCATGTTTCGCGCAAAAGCGGCACCAGCAAGCCAAAGCCAAAGAATAGACCTCCGAAGTGCAGCTTCATGCAGTATCGATCTCAAATCCTGTTCACCCTTTAAATACTCATCTCCAGGTTGTTTTCTCTTCGTTCTCTCTTTCTCTCGGTTTGCACGCTCTCTATTTTCTCTTCACTCACCACCCACCACCCGCCACCCGCACGCACCCGCCAATCCCACCACCTGTCCCTGTACTCGACCCGAAGACAGCACCGTTCGATGCTACTAACTAGTAATGCCCGTCTTGCTACGTTCGGTAGCAAAGGCCAGGAGCGCCCCGTTCGTAGCGGTCCGATCGCTCCGGACTCGTAGCGATACCCTTGTTACTGTCCTTCCGCTCCAAAGTCCCAGAGGCTCCACCGGCCGCCCTGGACACCGCGGAGCGGCCGCGCCTGTTTTGCCCTGGACCCGCCGCTTGGGTGCCTCTCATCCGCCCGACGTAAAAACGCATCGGACGTGGGTGCAGCCAGCTGGACGAGGGCCTTCTTGGAGCAAACGGACATGGGACGAGGATGCTAGAAGTGGTGGAAGAGATTGCAGTGGGACCCTCTTTTCAACTGATGGCCACCAACAGCAGCGTCGCGGAGGGAGCCCTGGGCCTCTGCAAACGTTGGGTTCTGCATCGGAGTGCTTTGAATTTGAGGGGTTTCACCCCAGTCACCCATGAGTCACCCATGAGTCACCACTAGTCACTAGTCGCCACCGGAAGGGTTGAATCGGTGGAGAATCGGAGAACGGAAAACTGCCACTCTGCCAACCGATTTCACCGCAAAAGTTCCTCTTGGGCACGAAGCATCCACACTCCCGACGAACATCTCGCATGGAAGCGGAGAAAAGGAAAGTAGTCTTCCGCCCTATCACAATGGCAGTGCCAAAAAGGATAACAAATCTCTTGAAAAAAATTTTTCTCATCGCGCCGCCAGTCCAAACGAATTTGGGGACTCCATCTTCGTGCTGAGTCTTTGCTTCTGTGACCAAAAGTTCAAGCTATGAACTCACTGAAACGGTTTCTTTTTTCCCGGTCAACCTCCCTGCCTCCCCCCAAACGTCACCGGTGGACTCAGAGGAGATGGGGACCGTCCCCACCGTTTCGTCAGCGTCAAGGACACGAGACCGACGGCTCCGCCTTCCTAACCGCCTTGGCCGCTGAGGCCTTCTTGCTCGTCTTCCCCATGGCGGCAGGTGGACGAGAGGACGTGCCGAGACCGAAAGGGGGTGGCATGGGCATGGAATATTTACTAAACCCAGTTACTGTATTGACTCCAAGTTCATGACTCCTGACATAGACCGAATCTGAGAAGAGATAGAAGAGCAAAAAGAAAGAGTAGCTAGAGAATTCTGAGTCTTTTTAAGATTCTGCAAGTTTGCTGTTGTTTCTATCAGCTTGTCCCCTTCGATCAGGTTTGTATTTTTGCGCCCATCACCCGTGTCAAGACTCCAGCCACTCCGGACACCCTTTGTCACCCACCCGGCTTGATGGCTCAACGCGTCAAGGCAGCGACGCAGCGGCAGAGCGGATGCGGCAGCGGCATGAGACACCGCGCGATTCGGACGGTCGTTTCAGGCGTCGTTGCTCACGTGGTTTTTGTCCGCCTTGTGGACGCTTCGTTTCACAGAGTGGCCCGGGCTTCTTGTGGCTCTCGTTCGAAACCAGTGCAAAAGTGCATGGTAGTAGGGGCTTGAGTTCCTGTGTTCATGTCACACTGTTACTCCACCGAAAAGCAGACACAAAACAAGAGCACGCCACACGCCACCCTCAGCGGTGGAGTTCAGCGGCTGACAGTACACCATACTGGAATCATCTCCATTGATCGGTGTGGGCGGGTGTTTGTTCATTGGTTCTCCCATTGCTGTGTGGGTTCCTTACATATCTTCAACCCAAAAAAAACATCCCCTGTGGGTGTTGGTTGGGGTGCTTGGTGGTCGGT